CTTTAAAAAACTGTATTAAAGGCAGAACCATATACTCTGCCAATGTAGAAGCATGTTAAGAAATGAATGTAGCTAAATCAGGAGTTTTTCAATGGCTTAAAACACATGAAGAGAGTATAGGAAGTTGGAAATTAGGTCAAGCTGCAAAAAAAAAAAGGGTATAAAAATGTGGGGATAAATTAAAGGGGCCATGACAAAAAAAATTTACATATAACTAGGTAATTTACATATAACTAGGTATTCTAAAGGAACTGTAGTAGGAAGAAGGAAATCAAGGGAGAAAGTCATGGGCCAATTAATTAAAATATTTACAGGCTTCTAAAAGACAACAAAGGGAGAAGCAGCAGCCAAAATCAGTTTTTCAAGAGCAGACTATGTCAAACCAAACCAATTTTGCTCCATGACAGAGTAACAGGCATCAAGAATAGGAATGAGCTGTAGACTTGGTATCTCTTGGGCTTCAGTGGGTTTGTGTCACTGTGCCACAGAGGTCTTGCATGCAAGGCAGGGAAACATGAAATTACTAATCAGCTTCCTGAAAATGTGTTTTGAGGTATCACAGGTTCATTATTAAAGTAGAAACGGGTTATTGAATGGGGTCACACACTGCGGGTCTTTTCTGGTCCAATACTATAGAACAGTTTTTAGTAATGACTTAGTTAGTAGAATATAAAAAGTTTCTTTCATCTGAAGATAACAGCAAGTGGAGGTCATGGTCAAGGATAGGGTGATAATTCAAAATTTTGTTGAAAAATTCTGAAAACCAGGTTGAAAGTCAACTAGTAACTTCAAAATTACACTGCAAGGAAGGACAGAGGATAAGAACAGACTTTGTACTGCAGGAAAAAACACTGGAGCTGTAGTAACCCAAAGTTTAAGAAGACCCAAAAGCGTCAGAGTGTTATAAGAAGAGGTGGACATTATTCAGGGATATAGAGGAAAAGATGGAGATAAGCATGGTATGAGACTTTAAATGCCTAAAAAGTAGCTGTGAAACTACCTCCACTCTGTCATTTTTCTTTGGGTTAATATAATCACAAAGCATTGTAGTAACTGGATCAAACCCTTTCCAGACCTGCCACAGACCAATGAGTGCTGCAAGTTGACATTTTAGAAGTTGTATAGTCCTTTCTCCCTACTCATAGATCTCAAGGTTTTAATAATTTTACCTAAACAAATGCAGAAATTTTATTTAATCTGGTTTTATTAGTCTCAGATGAGTGCTGCAGATCTCTAGATCTCACTGACTGTGGTACATATACTAATAAATAGAAAACTGATGAGCTTTAGGCCTCCCTCCTTTTGTTCCTTCCTCTCTCTGGTCAACAACGCCACCAATGAACTGATAGAAACAGAGACTTTCACATCACTATCTGCCTGTCTGTTGCAGAGTATAAAACATATAGATAGGCTAGAGAGCTGGATGAGGTGCTGAAAAAAATGTCCAGGTGCAGGGAATGCATGAAAGGACAAAAGCATGTTTGCTGTTAAGAAATCTGATTTTTAGTATTTGGTATTTGTGATACTTTACTGAGGTCCAGCACTAAAAGGCATTTAATCACTGGCATCCACAAAACAATATATGACTTAAATTATTTGAGCAAAGGAATTTCCCACAAATATTTAGTCTGTTACCTTTCTTGAGCCAGGTAGTAGCTGAAATTTGTAATCCTGCAAGTTTTGTCTGCAAGGAGAGAAACAGATGCAGGAGCTGTCAGCTCTGACATGATCCACTTTATTTACCAAGAGTGTACTCAAGATGAATGAAAAAAACCCTATTGTTTCGTTGCCCTTTTTTTTTTTTCAGAGTTTGTGATGCTGTGCCTGGTGTTTTCTTGCTCACAGCTTCCCTGCCCTTTTGTTTGTTGCATTCCTAGGCAGGAAAACAAAAACCAAGGATTTCTAATGCCCAACCTCCATCATTCCCTGCATTACATCAGCTCCAGTGTGGCCTTATCACAGATCCTTGCTCCTCACAGTGGTCTCTATTGTTTAAATTACCTGATTGCACAGCCACAATCAGTGATTTTAACAGCTTTTTTACATTTGGATCACGTGGAACATACCTCCTGGACTGATGGGGTTCAGCTGTGCTGAAACAAACCAGTAGCACCATGTGTTGCCTGCACTGAGAAGCATCTCACAAGTATTCACAACAATTAAGGGAAAAGCACTGGGAATTGTGGGGGTTCAGGCAGATACACCTGCAGTGTTTGCCCTGGGCCTGATCCAAACCTCTCTGAAGTCTATAGAAATATCTCCACCGATGTTAGTGGGCTTTGGATGGGGACCAAGGCTGCTCCAGAGACCTTCCTCTGGCAGTGCTCCCATTGAAGTCAACGAGATTATTCCCTGGCATAATAGACCTCACCGTCAGGAAGATTTTAATGATATTCAACCTGCATCTTCCATGCCTTCTGATCACCCCATTATTCCTAGTTATGGCTCGTTATCTTCCTTTTCCAGGGACCCAATCCTAACCTCCTTAGTCAGCCACAATTCATGCCAGCTCCAATGAAGGATGCAGGATTTCACTGATACCTTAATATTCAGAGACTGCTGCAATGCCCTCCTGTGATGCCATCACACAAGGAAAAAAACACATGGTATTTTTGGCTGCAGAGACCATGGAGCTGAGCCTATGACCATACTGAAGAAAAATGAAACGACTTGCCAGTACAATTTCAAGACATAAAGCAATATGAATTTTTAAATAACTTTTGATCTTATAAAAACATTTTATCATCTTTCTATCAGGTGAACATTCTCATAGCTGTGTAAAAATCCGTAGCAAAATTATTGGGAGTAGTTTTCTTTGGTTAAGAACTCAACATTTGTGGTTTCAAATAGCTTTATAATTTGGAGTGGACAAGACAGATAACGAAATACTTCTTTCTCAACAATCATTTATTATATATAATTTGGCCTTTCTGGATGGTTGGACTGGAACCCATCCTAAATTACCAATAGTTAAATACTTCTGATATGTACTAAAAATGGTAATTTCCTATAGAATTGTATTAAAATCTTGTATTTTATTTAGAAATGAAACATTACATATCTCCTATGGTGTTGGGACAAGAGTCCTCTCTTTGTGTGTGATTTTGCAGCAATGGGCATGCAATGACAGGGGTTTTGTCGCAGTACAGTAACACTAAGGACAATATTTATAGTAGATAAAATAATAATACCAGGTAAAAGGAGGTGTGTATGGACATTACACAGTACATATTAAATACCCCAAAATATGTTACCATCCCCAACACCATGGGCTTCCTTACTTTGTTCTGAAGAAATGGCATAAATTCCTCCAGCATGGATACTTGGGACTCCCTAGTGAGGACATGATTTTTCCAGTTAGGAATGTCAGTGATGGCAAACCACTTTTTTTCCTCTACGTGCTCGATTTCACCTTTTTTTTCATATCTCAGTGATTAGTCATTGTAGATTTGCATGTGCATTCCCTTTGCTATTAGTTACATTCACTTTTCAGTAACTGCCCAGACATCACATACATTAAGAATTAAAAATGTAAGATATTATTGCTGCTCCGTGTCCGTCATTGTGGCCCTGACTTGCCCTGCCTACCCTAATGTTACACTGGATTATGGCAAACGGAGCTCTCTGAACCACTCCCTTAATGAGATAAACAAAAACACCCTCATGTTTGTGCAGTTATGGAATTGTTCTCACTGAAATTCAGTGTATTCCAGAGCTTATGAGCCCATCCAGCCTGCTTCAATGCAGCGTTCTGTCCATGGGAGCAGACTTGGATTAGCTTTTAAGTGAAATTAGACAGTCACATTAACCATTGTGTGAATATCTACTCTTTATTCTAAACACAGTCTTTTGTGACATATAGTAAAAACTGTCCAGTTAAATTTAGACATATTTGAAAAGCAACTGGTTTTGTAGCCAGTGTGACATAAACACCATTTTTATCTGATATTACATGGATTTCACAGAATAAATGTTGGGCTGCCAGCATCTCCTACTGCCATTAACCTTCTTTTCCTCATTAATAACCGACCTGGAGCTGTAAGAGCCACCCATGAGTTCAAGCAAACCAACCAATCCCCTTCCCCAGGCTTTGAGGCTGAGCAGAGTAAGAGAGATTTATGTCTGCTGCAAAATATTTGGCTCACTCCTGCAGGATTCCTTACTTCTCCAATAAATGCAACATGGCATTTCAACATGTTTGTATTGTGACTTCACTAGTTTTTGTTATGTATTTGAAATATAATGATTCTCGATAATAGTTCATGGCAGAGTTATTTTTAAAATGTATAATAGTGACAGCATTCAGACATTCAGACATTTACAATCCACAGACGACAGCTTTTTACTGCATCTTTTTGGTTTCACCTACTTAGCCATTCCATCCCTAATAGAATAACCTAATCCATGCATACCAAAAGCACTGTTAATATCCCAGACCTGGAAAATTAGCCAAAAATCCACAGAAAGATAAGCATAATAGAACACTGGTGATTAACACGTACATTTAGCATAATGGATCCCAGCATCAACATCTCCTGTACATTCTTCCCAATTCAGACCAGTTTTGTACATCTCAATGGTGTGGTTATATCTGATGAAACAGCAGAGCTACAGCAAAGAAACAATGTACAAAGAATGTTTGTAATATGAAAATGGTGTTCAGGTTTTTAATACACTGTAATTGACCGCACTGATTTTTTTTTTCTGTGAAAAGATAATTTGGTATGAAAATCGTGCAGTACTTAAATAATGTAATTTTGATAATGACAGTGAAATATAATTTCTGTAAGGCAAGTGAATCACAAACTTTTTCTCATTCAAATTAAGTGTGTAATATGTCTGAATGCTGTCACTATTATACATTTTAAAAATAACTCTGCCATGAACTATTATTGAGTATCATTATATTTCAAATACATAACAAAAACTAGTGAAGTCGCAATACAAACACGTTGAAATGCCATGTTGCATTTGTTGGAGAAGTAAGGAATCCTGGAGTGAGCCAGACTTCTTCTTCTAGACATTTTATCACAGTTTTTTTAAAGAGCTGAACCTTTCCCATGTTAAGCTGAAAACTGAAATTGAGATAGGCTTTGACCTTCCAAAGATAAACAAGAATTCCTATAGATAGTCAAGGTTCCTGTTGCTTCTTGTGTTGTGCCAGGCTTTGGAGACAGAGTTTGATCTATTAAGGGTGAAATTGCACTATTGGTAAAAATGGTCTTTATTTGTGCCGTCCATCTTGAGACTGCGGAGGAAGCGGCATCATTCCACTTCTGGGAGACCTTAAAGGAAGTTGGATGCACGGAGAGGTCAGAATGCAAGAAGGTGTCCGAGCAATTCCTGTAAGTTAATACCTCAGTTAGGTTTTTTATATCTAATATTCCTGCCTTTTTTTTTTTTTTCTCGGGGCTCCCTCCTCCACCCCCTTTACTGGAGACCCACACATTTCTACTCTTGCTTCTCAGAGAAAAGGCTCCTGGAGGAGGCTTGTGCTATCTCCACACACACTTTGATGTTTATAACTGATGGGGCTCCTCTCTTTGCAGCTGGGAAGTGGAGAGGAGCAGAGAAGCTGCACCACATCACGGGGGTCACTGTGTAAACTGAGGTTGAGTGTCGGGTGGATGATGAGTTGGTTGTGCCCCCTTTGATCTGTGCTCACATCCAACCCCTGCACGGATCAGCCCTTTGTCCAAGGCTGCTGAAGACACTGGGCATCCTCTGCTCTTTCCTCCAATGTGTGTTTAAAGTGGAACATATATATGTAATGTTCCCTTATGCTGCTCTGTTCCACTCCCAATGGTATATTTTATATATTGCAAATTTTACTCCTTACCAAAAATACATCATCCTGGAAGCAAACTGAGTCAAGTGTTGTCAATGTGCCCGTAATTCCTTTGCAATTGTGTGAGGTGTGAAATTCGCTCAACTGTTCTCACTGGAAGATCTGAAGGGTGGGAGATAAAAAAATTAATTTCTGCCAAGTGGGCAAGGACAAATATAGATTATGTATATCTTATTTCTCTGGAACGAAGATGGAGGAGTTATGGTTCCAAGAGACATCCTCAGAAGAAAAAGGAAAGGAACTAGGACAAATATTTTCTTTCCTTTTTCATCAGATGCAAAGAGACAGTAACAGTTTATTACACCAAAAGGTAAAATAAATGGTTGATTCAGCTAAATTGAAGTTCAAATTAGAAAAATATATGCAGAATGTCCATGGTACAAACTTCTTAAAACAAGGTATTTCTCTAATTCATAAAGAAAACCAGAAATAACATTTTTTGTGGTGGATGGATGATCTTTTTGATTTTTTTAAAATGGTTTAAAGACAATTTTACTCTCTACTTGAAAATTATGATCCAGTCATAAAAGCAGGCATTCATAATGAGAAATTTAGTTATGAATGAAAGCTGGGATTCACAATAAAACATCCATTGGTGTTGGTGATTTTTTGCCTCTCAGTCATTACCTGAGTGTGGCACTAGGAGGCAATCTGCTATTAGAGGTGTCATCCCTCAGACATCAAAGTCTGGGAGTTTCGAGATATTTCAGCACCAAATGGTACCGTTTATGACCAGTTTTTTATGTGTCATTACCACCATCACCTTGTCTTCCATCTGCTGTTATACAATGGCAGATTATGGTGATTAAAAATACCTTCCTGAGACTCTGGTCACACTTTTGGCCAATAATTCCAATTTCTAATATCCCAAATAAAGGAGTGAGGTTTAAGTGAGGTGATATTTAGACTCAGGTGGTGACAGGGTTGTCACAGCCAACCGCCTGAGTTGACAAAACACAGGTGTTCCCAGGTACACCCATAAGCAAACCAAGATCAGATAACCTGTACCAGGAATATTTATACACTTCTTTCTGCTATGGACTCTTCTAGGGCAGAAAGCAGCCAAAAAGGGGCTGGGGTTAAAAAACAATAGTTTGAATTCAGGTACAAAGGCAAGTGCCATTTCAGCTCTTCCTGGATGTTAACTGTTTGACTTTGCTGTCTTACCTCATCTTATTTTGATAAAAGTTCTTTTGTTGTTGTTTGGGAGCAAATGTATATTTACACACTTTTATTAATTCTGTAAAGTACTTGGAAGTTCTGAAAGAACCAAGACAGAGTTGGAAACATGGTTTTAAAAATGCTCTCACAAGTGTTTACTAAGACAGAAAGTTGAATTTGACTTGGAGCACTTGTTTGTTCTCCTTTTGTTTTCTTTATGTGAATATTTTAGCTAATAGGTTTACTGTTAGGATTGTTTATGGGAACGGCACATTTTAAGCAAATACTTCAAAAAATTTTCATGTATATTTTAGACTGGCAAAGGCAAATGCTTTCACTAGAAATCTAATTGTAAGCTTTACTGTTTACAGTATATGCTTTATTACACAGTCATTAAATCAGAAAGTATGTCTATGGACATGTGGGTTTATGTTCAGTAAGGAACTACTAACTCGTGGGTTAAACAGCAGCAGCTACACAAAAGACATCAATGACTCTCAAGAATTCTAGATATTAAGTACTTTCATTTATTTATACATTTATAAATGTATAAATCCCCAGACCTTTCCATTCCCTCTGACACTGCTCTTTGCATAAACCACTATTAAAGTCTGTGTTCCAAGTGCTGGGATGTGTTGTGGTATCGTTAGGCAGATCAAACAATACAAGAAAATAGATAATGCACAGTTTCCAGACAAAACAGAGACTTTTGAACTGGGACCATGACAGAATAAAAACTCACAATAAATTCATTGTTAGTCTGCTTAATGCAATTCTTCATCTGCAAATTCTCTTGCAGCTTTGAAATCTTATCTGGAATCTTGACTTTTAAAACCACTCCCTTCACACTTTGGAAAAAAATAATAATTCTGTTTGTGTGTCTGTAAAATAAACATAATTAACATAGGTGGTATATGGAATTAACGATGCCTGTAAGCAAAGAGCTTCACAATTAAATCACAGATTTGGTGCTATGCAGGTTGAAAACACGAGCTTGGCTCAGCAGACAGTGATTTTTTTCCAGGGTCCATAGATTGTCGTTCTATGCCTTGTGTCAGCACAACTGCATCAGGAACTTCACCACTTGCATCAGCTCACATTAATATTATTTTTAAGACAAAATGGTCCTTGATATGACACTGCCACCCATCAACAGAAACAATTGTGCCATGGAATGTTAATATGAAAGTTTATATATGATAACATTACCATTTGTTTTTAATAATTTTTCCAATGGAAACAACTACTGTTTCAGTGAGTCATTTTATTTTCTTGCATTTCCTGGCAAGTGCTGCAGGACTGTTTAAGGAATAGAAAAACAGGCTGGCTGCAGCTCAGCAGAGAGGCTGATTCCATGGGCTGTGCTAGGTGGAGAATGCCATTTAAACCAGTGGTCTGGACTGGGCATACAAGATAGGTTGCCTTTTTCAGCTTCTAAACTATGCCCTCTTGTACTGAAACACTGTAAAACAACATTAATTAAGACTTCAAATTCAAACCAGAGTTCTCAGGGAACATATATATTTCCAGATCATTCCACATTATGTAATACTTGAAATATTGAAGCTTACTTACAAAAGGGAAGTAATGGAAAATGTCATCATGTTGGTGTATTTTGGGAAATACATCAGATTTTGTTAATAGTTTGGAGAAAATTTTAAACTGAGGAATACAAATCTAGTTCTAATAACTACCCTATCAAGTATATGTCAGGGGGAAAAAATTCATTTCAAGCTTTTATAAATTATTATATGTCAGGGAGAAAAAATTCATTTCAAGCTTTTATAAATTATTTTTGGCCCAGTTTAATGCATTTGTCATTGGCCACTGTGATTTAGGACAGTAAACATTTTCACTGTTATCTCTTTTCAGAAAGAAGCAAAACATTCTGACCCAAAATTGATAGGTGGTGTTACTCTGTTTGGATCTTAACAAGAATGAGAAATTTTTTTCTTTCAGCTCTACTCTGCTCATCTGGTCTATATTTCCACCTAAACTGGACAAATTCTGCAGCCATTTAAATCCACCCAACCCTGTTGACCTCAACCATACTCTTATCCTGATTTACAGCCTCATTAGGATTTTAATGATGTAAATGGAAGTAGAGTTTGCTCCTAAATCTTCCCTCTAAACTGGAGAGCATGTTCACCTCTGTGTGCAGGATGTGCTTCAAATAGGGAATGCACAGCTAAAACTTGGCAGGCCAGGCCTGAGGTAGAGGGTGGATTTCTTTTTTAAAAGCTGAGCTCCTACCTCTCACCAGATAAGCAGTGGCACATTCCCGTGTATCTTGTAAAATCTTTAACAGTCCTACACATGCATGTACAAGTGTAGCACTGTTTTTACAAGATAGACTACAATTCCTTCTCACATATCTTTGTGATGAGGGAATTGAGTCATTAGTCTAAATATATTTGGGGGTATTGAAGCTGCAAGATGGCAGGAAGAGCAGGCACTTCCCAGCTCCTGGTACCTGTGGAACAAAACCGGGTCCTGCCATAAAATCTCTAAATGTGTGGCAAATAAGAAAGGACAGAGGGGCTTTATCTATTTATTTGTCACCTATCTATCTATCTGTCTGTCTGTCTGTCTGTCTGTCTCTCTCTATCTATCTATCCATACATCTTGCCTTAAAGCTTGTTCCAGAGCTCAGAAAAGCATAATTCTCATTAACGTCAGCGGCCCGAATCAGTTCCTGAAAAAGAAAACACAGTGTATCACTTTCAGTATCTTCTATAAATTTAAGCCAGACAACCTTTGTGACTTCTAACACCCTCTATATTAAACAGTGCTCTGAAAGATTTAATATTTATATTACACAAATCCCGCTGTGTTTAAATTGTTTAAAGGTGCCATAACCAGCATGTTTACTCTGCCCCAATGCTCGCTGTAGCTCGGATGTGTAACTCCTCATAGAGACTCATGTTACCCAAAATCATTCTCCTCCCACCCTCAAAACTGCACCAGAAAAAAACATTTGCCAGAACTTGCTCCAGAAGGCTCATTTCCATATAGCTGTCTCTTAAATAAAAAACTAGGAAAGCAGAATGATGGGGGATCAGAACAACCCTGGGCCATTGGTTTGGTATGTTGAGACTGGAGTTTACTCAGCCATTGCCCTTCCAATGCCAATAAATTGTATGTTATATATCATTAATGGAGAATGATATATAGTTTTATATGCATAAAAGAATGATATATAATAACGCCCCCTCTATGGCTGGGGTGATGCCTGACCAGGGACACAAACTCACAAGATTATTAGTGCAAGATCAGGCTGTGCATCACATGGACAGGTCCAAATAATTCTGCCCAAGAGGAGAGAGTTAATAATTTCTTCCTTCGATTAAATTAGGGCTGTTTGGGTTTTGAGTTTATTTTAAAACACATTGAAGCTTGATGACTTTTAGTCACAGGTGAAGTACTGCAGAGTCAAGAAGCAGAAGGATTTTTAAAGATCTTACATAACTTCAGTGATATTTTTAAGCATATTAATTGGCAGGTGCTGCACACAAACACGGAGATGACTTTCTGAAAGTACAAACCTGACCCTTGAGTACAGCAATTTTATTTTGTGGCTTCTATAAACAACCAGATTCATCACCTGTAAAATCGAAGAAGGTGGTACTCCTTTTTAGAAGGAAGTAATCAGGTAGAAGCTTTGCTCCCCAAAACAAAATGAAGCTGTGAATAGACCAAATCAAGAAGGGAACATGATCAAATTAGGCAGTTTATAAATATACAGTGCACAGGAATACAGCAAGCCTGTGGGTGGTGGGCAGCCCCATCACTCACCTGCCTGTGGATCTCACAGCTGGAAAAGGCTGTGGAAAGAGGTGGAAAAAATCCAGCTGTTTAATAATAGTGCTATGAGTCGCTGCGTTTTATTAATTTTCACTCTTTTGCCGGGTGCAGCCTTAACATGAATACAGAGAAACCCTCAGCTCACACGGGAGTGGGAGGAATCGGGTGCTGTTACACCTCACCTTGAAGGTGACAGGCAGGGCTGTGCAATACCTATGTTTATGCATTATTACTCAGAAACCTGCTTTAGTAGGCTTGGGGTTTTGGTATGGTTTTCCCCCCCCCCCCGGATATCTTAATTCTGCTGATGCAAAGCGCGAGTGAAATTACAGGTGCCCATCTGCGGTGCAGGATGCTGATAAACAACTCGCCACTTCGCAGTGGCTGGTCACATCAGGAGCCTTTTGGGATGCAAAAAGTAGTGGAGGATTATTGCAAAACTTCGAGGCACTTGCGTTTGCCATAACTTTTGTTTTTAACCTAAATTTGTAGTTCCCCTCTCTCCTTAGAGGATTTTACTTATTATTTATTTTATATTATACTTATTTAGCTAACCAGCTAAGTCAGCAGCGAAGCAGAGTCAGACCTATAGCTCTTGTCAGGAAACTTTTCCAGTTTGACCTTAGACTGAGACAGGCTGGTATAAAACCACGGATCAGTGGATTCTGTTCCATTAATTCCAGCATATTTTAAAACTCCACAACCCTCAGTCCCCAACTCTGACTGAGTTAGCATACAGTGTTCGACACCACTGTTCCATCGGAAAAAAAAAAGGCATGATAAATTTGAATTTTTTCCCACCTTTAAGTTGCCATAATACTTCCATAACAGAAAATCAACACACAAATAGAGATGGATAGATGGATCCACAGTACAGACTGTGAAGTCTGTACGGATGGTGGAGTCCTTCACTCTGGCATTTTCTTCTTTGTATAGTTATTCCTGTATGGAATAGGTGGATTTAACATCCAGTTTGATGCAGTCTTCTACCATTTTCAAAGCACTCAGTTAGCCTGTCTTGAAAAAAAATCCCTGCTACAATTCAAGAGGCTGTAATGAACTAACATCTATTTATAATATTATTTACCATTTCTATTTGCCAGCATGTGCACAGAAACACAAAGGGGGCTCGAGGAAAGTTTCACCCTTTGCGTTCCTCACACACATTTTGAAATCCTTGCAAAATTTCCATCAGGTCACTGTAGCAATAATTATGCATGTATGCAGTTAATGTTCCCTGACTGCTTCTGATCCGCTGTGTCTGTTCCCTTTCTGTGCTCTCCTGTGGAGATCATACAGGCAGGATGGAACACACAGACTGGTCAGAACTCCACACCCTGGAAAATCTCTAAACCCTGCTCCTGGAGGAAATATTTTAACCAATGCAAAATAATAATTTAAAAAAAAAAACAAACAAAACCAAAACACAAAACACAAAACCCCAACCCTAAATGCTCATCTGCACATTTATTCCCTGCCCCCCCAACATTTAGTACGTGTTGTGTTGGAAATATCTGAAATGGCTTTGATGTATTTTCTGTGATTATCCACAATTTCCTGTTATGTAAGGTATCTCTCAGGAGACTTCAGACTCAAGAATAGGTTGCACTGGGAATTATCACTAAGATCTGGCTCAATATGGCTTTTTAGCTCATTGAGCATTGCTGTTGTGCAGAGCACTGTATTTTTCCTATACTGTTTAGTCTGTTTATATAAAATACTCACTCTGAAACTGAGAATGCTCGAAATTCATCCTCTTACGGCACACGTGATCTTTCATGAGAATCCAATTAAACACAGGGGGGGTTGCACTTTTTTGCTTAAGAGAAGATATTGTCAAGTTGGGTCTGGCTTTCTTCCCCTCCTGTTTGAAGGTCAGTGATCATTTAGGACAGATTTCTATCATGCATTTCAGATGCTAAGGCAGTGTCTGTAGCAGGAGACAGGCCATAATTTAT